TAATATGGAAAATAATATTTAAGAGTAAATTCAGTTTAGCTACTACATTTAGTTTTGATTTTCTATGATAAAAATAAAATAAAGCAAATCATTTTGTTTGTTGCTTAGAGCTGTGGTAGGTCAGTGCTTAGTGTCTCACAATCCTTTGGCTGGTGGTTTGAGCCCCGGTTGCAAGAAACAGCCACTGACAGGAGACAAGTTTCAAATATTTTCTGCAAGTTTGCTCACTGTAACAATCTCTGCAAAAAGGGAGCAACAGCTCTGTTGTAACTCTGGTCTACTATGGTCTTTGCTTGTTTTCTCTGGTTACCAGCAATAAAAATTCACAACCTGTTAAAGCTGCTACACAAAATTTTGTTGGTATTGTACGTCTTTGTTTATTTATTTTATTTTATTTTTTTGTCCTACACAACAATTTTGGCCATGATCTCATGTGTTTGAGTTTGCATGCTATCACATCAAACCTGTTTGTTTGAATGAGTAAAGTTTAGGGATATCAGTGTAAATTTTAGATTCCTCCGCCAGTCCATCTATTGCCTCCTTGTAAGGTTTTGTAACCCATAAATACATTTTAATAATTAAAAATGTTCCTGTAAGAAACAAAATAAAATTCTAATGATTAAAAAAAAACTAATACAAAACACAGATATCCAACAACACAACAGTCCAAATGAATTCAGCTGTTCTACAAAATTAGTTTGGACTAATGAGAGACAAGTAAACAAAACTGACCAAATCTTTGTTTAAAAGCAACCCAACACAAAATTCTGAACTGCAGTTTGTTTGTTTGTTTGTTTGTGTGTTTGTTTTGGCCATACTCATACAGTATTCTTCGTTTGTTGTTTGATTTCACCAGCAAGTGGCGCTGTTGCCACAAAGATTATGGTGCAAATGAATATAAAGTATAACAACAAGAAAAAACAATGAAATCATTACAAACACATACAGTATATTGTGTTTACCTACTAAATTAATCATGTTTCTTCACATAAAGTTCAGAATTTTTAAATAAAAAATATAAATATTGACTTACACTCATGTTTTTGTCAGAGCATGAGAACTTGTGAAAGATGGATTAGATAACGGACCATGTGATGCAATAAGTCTGAATCTTCTTTGAAGGACGTGTAAGAAAAAAAAACATTCCTTCACCTTTTGGCTTTAACTGAATATTCAGACTGTTGCAGAATTCTGACCTCGACACCTCTAAGAGCTGACTTTTAACACTTTCTTTCAGTGATCTGTTATATAACTGTAAGTATGTGTGGTCATAGGACAGAACTATGTGTATGAATCCAATTTAAAGAAAACCAAATTAAATTTTAAATGCAAAAAAATTGTATTTGATGTTTTTTTTTGTTTTGTTTTTTATATTGAAAATAGACATTTAACATTGGTTCAGACAAGCTTTARCACCACATGAACACATAGAAGCTAATCTTTGGATTTGTTTTCTCCTGCATGCCGAGCACATCCAAAAATGGAAGATATCTGGGAGTTCAAAGTCTTGATGCAAGGTTTATAAATTAAATGTGACTAAACATATAATTACTTCTATGAATAAAAGTAATTTGAAATACAGGCCTAAATGAGAATAGCAACAGCAGTATTTTAATTTTATTTTTTTATTTACAGTAAATAAAATCTTACAGAGAATTTTCAACAGTTATGCGCATTATAAAATTATGCTCATTGTGAAATCTTTATATGTTATTGTACTTTTCTGTCTTAGCTTAGTTACCAAAGTAGCTTAGTTACCAAATATGCAAAGTGATTTTTTTTTTACCTTCTGTAACTTGAGTTAAGAAGATGTCAAGCTGTCTTGACAATAAATAGCAGCACGGTGAAAGTTGACATTTCATTGTAACGTGACACTAACATAAATTCTTTCTATCTGTTGTGATTATCAAAATCACAATATTTTTTTTATTTTTTAATCTTCCCTCTTCCCATAAGCAATCACATCTCAGACATTGTTAAGCCTTTTCAGGTAAAAGACTCAGATTATGTAAACCAAATGTCAGACAGATAATTATTTCAGCAGGTAAATGTTTTATGTAATGTTCTCTCTCTCTCTCTCTCTCTCTCTCTCTCTCTCTCTCTCTCTCTCTCTCTCTCTCTCTCTCGCACACTTTCCCTGTTAACATTACCTTGGCTGAATCAGGGAAGTACAGCGCAGCAGAAATGTGTCATAGACATCGCCCACTAACAAGGAACCCACTCACCTCTGTCTGGGCAATGACAGCCAACACACACCCTCYTTTTTCTCTGGCTTTTAGGTGTCACTTCATCATGATACACTCACAGACTGAGTTATAATCAGACTAAATAAATRGACAGGTTTACAGTTAATAAGCAGATAGCAGAAGCACAAGGCTGTCTTATGGAGACACAAAAAAGACCCTCACACAGAGCAGGCATAAATTATTCATCTGGAAGCCCAAAGCATCATTCTRGCCACTGTGGGCAACAGTCATGGGAATGTGGCAGAGGCAACCTTTTTTGATAAATGAACTTGCTATTTTTATTTTTTCTATTAAAAATACATGTTTGAATGAAAAAAACATACATATGTTAAGACAAATGTGATTTTTGTTGCTCAGCTTTTTAGTTTTTAAGTAYTGATAAATCTGTATTTGGTCATCAGTAGAGGTGGTTTTAGATTTGCTTAAGGCCCTCCACTTCTTTTCTTTGTCAACATTTGTGCAGATTATTGATGCTTATTGCTTGTAGTCTGATTTGCCAAGCGTTATAGCTGTAAATGCTCTCTATTTTTGTGACAGCTCAGACAAAATATCCATTGTTCTTATGTTTTTAGGTATTTTATGATGTTAAATAGGGATGAACAAAGAAACCCATGTTTTGAGCCCATCCTAACTTGCTCTATCCCCAGCTTCCCAAAATGGTGGCCGTAATGAGCACAGGGGATTGGCAACCAAGCACTGTGATGGTGAACAAACTCCAAAAAGCTGTAGTGATAGATTTGGACATTTGGGCATCACGAAAAAAAGAACACAATAATTGTTTTCAGCTTTTTTGCATGTCTCGTTTGGCTCCATCATGGTTTTAAATCCTTACAGGACCTCACATAATAAGTTTGTTATTATGTCAATTTGAATATAAAAAATGTGAGATCAATCGTACAAAGTAACAACTTCATTTTAAATATTTTGTAATAACATTTTAATCAAACGTTAATTACATGCTTTGACTGATCATAATTAAAAAGCTCTAAAAGCAATCCTGCAAAAACTTGTTTTTAATCAATGCCTAAAATGCATAAAGTTAAACACTTTACAGTTTATAATAGTAATGCTTTTATGAAACAATTTGCAGCATTTTACTATACCTTTCTTCTTTCAGCTTTCAAAATAAAATTGCTTGCATGCTTGCCTGCATTTTATGCAGGCTGAAAGGAAATGGTCTTTGCGTGTAATAGATGAAAGGCCTTTTTTCCAGTTAGACATTTTTATAGCGTTTTCCACTCATCTGCAGAGCCTCTCTCTGCCACATAAATAAACAAAAACAGAAGCTTGAATGTTCAGCACTATAGGCCCAGTAAACTGGAGTCTGGTTGTAAGCCATACTAAATGAGAAARCCTGAAACAGATTGGAAAGTAGTAATTAAGTTCCAGGTGAGTTCCACTTTCCTTTACACCCAGTGAGCCTGACAACATTCTAGATGAAGATTGGAGCAGTTTCTTTCTTGCCAGCATGTTAACAAATAATAAACAATGAATTTGAGCACTTTCGACTCAGTATGTTTCCTTAAATTGAGTTTTTTTTTTTTGCTGCAAGAGAAATAGAAGCAAATCACAAAAAAKGCTGTGTGAATCCTCTTTGTGAAAATTCATTTTCAAATAAATTCATAGATGTAATTTCCTGGGGGATTGGGAGGGAGGGGGTGTTATTTGATCCAATCAATATCCTCCCCCCCACACACACACACACAAATGGCATTGTTTACTCTTACACCTTAGAAATTACCTGGTTAACAGCTTCAACTCTCTTGTTGTCTTCAGGTAACTTTGACCTGATTTCAACATTTACAATGTSATGTATGTACCTAATTGCAGAAAATGGCATGCAGGGTGAGTCACATGTTTTAATTATTCCTAGCCAAATTGTGGTGCACCAGGTAAAGGCATATTCTTAGAAATTTAGGTTTTTTTTGTATGTTACAGCCTAAAAATGCTAAATGTTTGTTACAGTTGAAAATTAGGAAAAATGTAAGCTTTTTCTAAAATGTTGAACTGATGTGGAACACAAAAGAAGCAGAGTCAATACAAAGAAAACATGACAGTTCAGTAAGTCAGAGCTGAAGCATTACATTTAACGCCAAAATATTCTGAATAGTTTTACAAAAGTAAACGATCCAATAATAAATAATTAGGCAGGGAGAATACCCCCCATCCCCGCCATGACCTAAAGTTACGCCCTTGAAGAAATTATAATAAGCAAAATGTATAAATTTGTATTATCCTCACCAATATTTCTCACATTTCAAAAAAATCTGTTTTTTTTTGTTTGCTTGTTTTGTTTTGTTTTTGTTTGTTTATTACAAATCTTAAACAATTTACACAACTAACATCCAAAATCAAACTCGAGATCCTGTTTGTTTCCCATCTATTTTATTTGATTTCTTGACAGGTGTGTAACTATAGGGACCCTGTGTCAAGACTGAGATTGGATAACCAATATTTGGATGTTTCTTGACAGTTTCATTTGACAGTCCCATCAGGTCCATGTGTACAGTCAGAGTAAAAAGCAAAATATTTTTTTCACTGAAGAAAAAAAAGGTCATTATATTAGGGCATTACACATTTCGCTGAAATATTGTGCATGGTGTTTTTATCGTTTTAGCCTAATTTCAACCTTTTAGCATTTTATTAAATATCAAAGACGGACAAGGAGGTTTGTGAGCTTCTCAAAACTTGAGTACAAATCAAAAGTAGTCTCACTCATTTTTTAAAGCCAAATGCACACAAACTGAACTGCAATTGTTTTCATAGGACACTATTTATTTCCAACATTTAACATATGTTACTTACAGATATTTTCTCTAGAAAATAACTGTCACTGCACATYAACCGACAGAAGAACACACTGTATTGCAAAGACTGAAACAAAAACAAACAAATTAGAAGATATCCCACCAAACTATGAGCTCATGCACCATTTCACCATCAAATGAAAAACAAAAACAATATGACAATTCATCTTATTTTAAGTACATTTTGCAAGTACAGACTCACTTTATTGAAACGAATACAAGACTGCAAAATAAATAAATAAATAAAGACAAAAACTAATAAAATATATAAATAAATAAGAAAACTAATTTGACTGTATAAACCCAGGAATAGCTTGGACTTTAATGTCTGCATACCCCTGTTTTTCTAATGGAACATTATATAAAAAAAGGGAACATCCATTTTTGCGGTCATTCAACATGCAACACAAGACAGTTTGTGTCCATCCTTTTCATAGATTTTAATAACTGTCTGCATTTTTGTTAAAATCATCTATGAAGAAAACTCAGCAGCACTCAGCAGGGGTGGCTTTAGGTTGATGTGTTTTCTTCTGTTAAATGTTGCTCAAGGCTACGGAGAAGGAGGCGCCTTTAGAGAATTACAGGATCCTCCCTGGCTACTACCTGTAGTCCCTTGGTACTGCAAAAATATACAAAAATAACTTAGCAAAACAATCATTTTAACAATAAAACAAATAAACAAATGAAATAAGTAGTTATTGATTGTACACTGACAAAAGGTAAAGCACTCAAAACGGTGGAAATAAARTGAAACAGCACATGCAAAATCACATGACTGCACAGCGGTTATTAAAATACCAATTCCAATGAAGTTGGAACATTGTGTAAAACATAAATAACAGAATATGATGATTTGCTAATCTTTTTCACTCTATATTTAATTGAATACACTACAAAGACAAGATATTTAATGTATTTAATGAATAAGTTTTTTTTTCAAATATTAACTCATTTTGAATTTGATGCCTGCAAATGTTGAGACAGCGTTCTAGGTGGAATTATTTCCCATTCTTGCTTGATGCAACACCTGCAGAATGTGGCTTGACACTGTCTTGCTGAAATAAGCAGGGACATCTCTGAGAAAGATGTTGCTTTGGCAGTAGTTGCTCCAAAACCTGTATGTACCTTTCAGCATTAATGCAAGTTACCCAGGCCATGGACAATAACACACTCCCAAAGCATCAGAGATACTGGCTTTTGACCCGTTCTTCTTTTGCCCAGAATACATGGTGTTCATGGTTTCCAAAAGCAATTTGAAATGTGGACTCGTCAGGTCAGTTTTCCACAATCAGAATAAAATGATCGGATTAAGTGTTTACATGCACCCTGTTAGGATTATCAATCGACATGAACCAACTCTCTCATTCCGATTACAAATTCATTCGGATTGAACTGAATCAAGTCAGAATAATCTGAATGGGGTGTTTACATGACACATTTTTATTCTGAATGGCTGTTTAATCTGATTACTTATGTCCATGTAAACTTAGCTAGTGATGTTATGTAGTGTTCCTGTGCCCATGTGGTAATATCTGTTACAGAATGATGTTGTGTCACGGTGGCTCAGTTGGTAGAGCTGAYGCCTCTCAGCAAGAAGGTCACCGGTTCAAATCCCGGTCCGGGGACCTTTCTGGGTAGAGTTTGCATGTTCTCTCCGTGCATGCGTGGGTTCTCTCCGGGTACTCCGGCTTCCTCCCACAGACCAAAAACATGACTGTTAGGTTAATTGATAACTCTAAAATTGTCCCTAGGTGTGAGTGAGAGAGTGAATGCTTGTTTGTCTCGTTTGTCTCTATGTGTGGCCCTGTGATGGACTTGCGACCTGTCCAGGGTGTACCCCGCCCCTCGCACTGTGACTGCTGGATATGGGCACCAGTGACCCACGCAACCCTGAAAAGGAAGAAGCGTGTACAGAAAATGGATGGATGGAGAATGATGTTGTTTTTTAATGTTGTGCCATCTGAGAGATTGAAAGTCATAATTTTCAGCCTTTCCTCTTACTTGCAGATATTTGTCCAGATTCTCTGAATCTTTTGATGATTTTATTGACTGAAGATGATGAAGCCTCTAAATTTACTGCAATTGTATATTAAGAAATGTTGTTCTAAAACTGATGGACTATTTGCTCACGCGGTTGTTCACAACGTGGTGAAACTTCCCCCAACCTTGCTTGTGAATGACTGAGCCTTCCATGGATGCTCCCTTTGTACCCAACTATGACACTCATCTGTTTCCAATTAACCTAGACTAAAAAAAACATTTGTGTATTCATTTGAATAAAGTTTGAAAAGGATTTCCTATTCTGTTTTTAATTTATGTTTTACACAACGTCCTGACTTCATTGGAAGTGGGGTTGTACTATATCAGATCAAACAGATAATGAAGTTGGCAGTGCAGGCCTGCTGCTGGTCCAGCATAGGGTGTGGCACCCTTTTTGGCAGGGATACAAGCAATAAATTGGTGGAAAATCTCATCTTACAACATGTGTGTCCTCTCCTGAAGCAAGTGGACCCACAGTAAATGTAATGCAGACTACTTTCTCTAGTTCACACATACAGTATATACTGTGTATGTAACCAAYAATAAAAAAGATGAACTCTTGGTATATTGTTTTGTGCAAAGTTTATTCAGCTGACAGCAAACTCAAGACTGTCATCCATGTTTCAAAAAAACACTTTGTAAGCAGCATTCATTGCCATGATAACAGTTATTTTTTATAGTCATGAAACTCAAACATGCAATTTTAGATATGAGCATCTCTTCCTAACAAATTTTATTAATTAGACTGTAAAACACCTACTCAAATTGTAAAGAATGAGGATATTCAATATAAAAATGTTTTTGTTAAGCTATTTAATTAATAAAAGCTGAGTTTTTAATACACTTCAGTTATAAAAGGTAAACTTCAGACATTCAATGGATTATACACTCACCGGCCACTTTATTAGGTACACCTGTCCAAGTGCTCGTTAACACTTAATTTCTAATCAGCCAATCACATGGCGGCAACTCAGTGCATTTAGGCATGTAGACATGCTCAAGACAATCTCCTACAGTTCAAACCGAGTATCAGTATGGGGAAGAAAGGTGATTTGAGTGCCTTTGAACGTGGCATAGTTGTTGGTGCCAGAAGGGCTGGTCTGAGTATTTCAGAAACTGCTGATCTACTGGGATTTTCACGCACAACCATCTCTAGGGTTTACAGAGAATGGTCCGAAAAAGAAAAAACATCGCGGCAGTCCTGTGGGCGGAAATGCCTTGTTGATGCCAGAGGTCAGAGGAGAATGGGCA